TAAACACAGTTTTGATTACTTCAGTTTAAGGGTATTTATTTTAAAGTTATTTTTTACAGAAATAAAGTTTGTTTTGGTTTATCCACACCCTGATTTCGGTAAAATTTGATCTCACTAAAGTTTTAAATAGGACCAGATGGAAATAGATATGTGTAGTTCACATTGCATGTAATTTTCATGCTACGCTCCACGATTGATTTATGTCATTTGACTATGTTTGTATATGTAATCATTGATGGGTATAGTCATGATTGATACGACGAACACCGCTTTGATCCTATATGGATACAGTTGATGGATGAGAATGTTATACAATAACTATTGTATGATAACAAATTTTAAGCTCATAAGGTTATACATTTATCAAGAAACATATGTTGCCCAAGTCGGATTTTGTTGGATTAAAATCCATAATTATGGACATATATTTATAATGTATATTGTTATCATAAAATATGACATAAATTAAGTGACCAATTATATTATAAAGTCATAAGGTATTAGAATGTCATGAAAATAAAAGTGAAGATAGTATTAAAGTTGTATTTATAGTTCGATGAGGGGTAGATTTACAAGCGTAGATAAAAAAACATGCAACGCTCCATAATAATTTTTTTTTGGATAAACTACACATTTAGTTATTATACTAAAAAAGTAACGTGATATTTATAGGAGAAAAACAATTAATTTAGGAGACAAATAAAGTCTCAATTGTAATATATATATATATATATATATATATTATTAAATTTATTGAATTATTTTAATAAAGACTAAATTATTATAATCTATAAATTTTAGAAGTTAATATTATTATTGTATCGTTAACCAGGGGCGTAGCTCTCTTGAAGCTCAAAGGTGCTCCGACCCTTGTAAAAAAATTATATTCAAAAGATTTCGATTTAATAGTATTTTAATTCATGTAAAAATGAGTATTTAAATCTAAAAATAAAAGAATTTATTAAATATTTAATCAAGTACGGGTCGAACTAAAGAATGATAATCTAATGTTTTTAATTTTTTGGTCTAATAACTATTTAGGCCATAATAAGTTTAAATATTAGATAAGACATTGTCTTTTGAATTTTAAGTCTAAAGACCTAATATGTCATTGAATTTTTCTTAAAAAGTTTAATATTTCGACCCTTACCAATATCTAATATTAACTCCATCATTCTCATTAACAAACTCTAAAACATGTGATTAAAAGATTTCAATTTTCATTTCTCTTCTCATCTAGTTGCGAGTTTAATATATGTTAAGAGTAAAATTTCTTTTTCTCCCACTCTTAAATAGGAATTATTAAAAAATTGTTATTATATCAAATCATGTTATTATTTTATTTAATGTTTACTGATACAAATTTATTTAATAATAATAATTTAATTAAATAATTAAATTACAATTTTTTAAAAATGATTAATTTATAACTAAAATAATAATCGAGTAAGCTTTTATCTTTTAAAATCTAGAATCGATATAATAATGAGTAGATTAGGCGTCGTAGATAAAAAAAAATACAACGCTCCATAATTATTTTTGGATAAATTACATATTTAGTATTTACACTATCAATTTTAATTTGTTTTAGTACATAAATTTTCATTTTTTTCAAAAGCATATTTAACGTTTAGTTTTTGTTTCATTTTAATACCCCACCATTAAAACCCTAAATTATCAGTTTTAATCCGTTTTAATATCTAAACTTTTAAAAAAAATATTCAAAATTTAACGTTAAATTTTAAATTTAGGTACTAAAGTGAAATAAAAACTAAACTTAAAGTATTATTTTAAAATAATTAAAAAATTATTTACTAAAATAGACTAAAATTAAAATAGTTTAAGTACTAAATATGTAATTTATCTTTTTTTAAGAGTAAAGTTTGTAACAATATGTAAAGGACGTGGTGACTTCAATGAATTGACATCCTAACGTGAAAAACGTGAATGCATTTGTGAGGTCGGCAGAGAGAGAATCCAATCACGAGGGTTTAGTTAGTAGCAATTTCCACTCTCCTTGGACTGCATCGTTCCCAAATTGTAAGCTTCCTTTACATTATTCTTTTTTTTTCTTTTTCTATTTTGAGAAAAAAAATCGAACAATTCAACGATCTCACTGATTAACGGAAGTGTTGTTTTCTTTTAAAGTCTCATATTTAAACAATTACATCTTTAAGGTATATGTACATTATCGATTATAAAAGATTATAAATATATCTGATTAGTTCGACATATCAATAAAGGTAAATTTTAGTTTGATAGTTGGTAGTGTTGATGGGTTGAATGTTAGAGGCAGTAGTGGATCTCAGAGTAAATTTTAAGAGGTCAATAAGGGTAGATGAGGATCTAGTTAATAGTGACTTTAATAATAATGACTCAAAAAATTCAGCGAATGAAAGGTTAGTATCTAATGACGAGGAGGAGGAGATAATTACACCTAGGGATCAAGAAAAAAATTAAACAAAGAAGTAAAGTAAAGCTGTAGGAGATGAAGACTTAGAACCATATTCAGAAATTAACAATCCTTTTACAATTAAAAATGAAGATGTTGTAGACGACGAGGGTGATGGGGAAGAAATTTATTACTTAGAAAGTGAAGATGCTAGTAGCTATGAGAGTGATTCTGATGGTAAGATTTTGTCCAAGAAAAACAATAAGGAGACACTGATAGTTGAATCAAGATGATTTGCATGTTTCATCTCAAGCAATTAGGACAATATCTCTAGGGATGGGTATAGGTCGGGTTTTGGTCAACCCGACCCAACCCGACAATTTTACATCCTTCATCCTACTTGACCCGAAAAAACATACCCTCAACCGACCTGAATTCGATCCGACTTTTTGAGATAAAATCCGAGCCCGATCCAAACCGACCTAAAATAATAAAAAATATTATTTTATTCAATAAAACCATTGATTTAATTGAAAAAAATAATATATAGAGGGGTATTATTGTAATTGTTTCTAAATATATAAAGTAAAATTATTTTTTTCGGGTCAGGTCGGGTCGGATATTTTCACCCTAAACCCGAATACGACCCATCCCAAACATCACCTTTAAAATCCTAACCCTAATCCAATTTTTTTTTTAAAAATGACCCGATCGGGTCAGTTCGGAACCCGTCGGATTTGAGTCCCATACCCATCCCTCAATATCTCAACCTGCTCAAAGAAATGTTTCCAATACAACATTTTAAGCCTCCTTTAATAGCATCTAAGCAATTACCAAAGGAAAGCAATGAAATTTCAAAGTTAGCTCCACAAAAAACTACAACAACCATATGAAGATATTGATTGCATCAAACTTGTTAAAAACCGAAATTATAATTTTTATTCAATTAATAGCAGGTTTTTTTTGTATATGTGAAATTAGAAGATATATGAGAAGGTCACATTTTAAAACTTAAGATAATAGTGAAAATATTGACGTTGAAATTTTATATGTAATTGCTATTCACAATGAATTATAGAAATTTTTTTAATATCATTTAATGAGTGAGAGGCACATAAATAGGCTCAAGCCTTTGCTTGATGAGAATTGTACATATTTTTTATGATGCTGAGTATGCATCGATAGTACACTACTTTTAACTTTAAATTTATCGAATATAGTTACTTGACTTTAACATCAACTCGAATCTAGTTATAATAAGGACATTTAAATTTTAAACTAACAACAATCGTTAGTCATACATTACAATTATTCTTAGCAAATTAAAAATAAAATTTTATGATAAGGAAAATAATCCATGACGTAAACAAGGCAATCTTAAACATTGATGCATCTTTTTTATTCTTTGCCACTTCGAGTTTATATGTTCTTATTTTGTCCTTTTGATTGTCAACCTTTCTTAGCAAACTTTGGAGTTCATCTGTTTACACTTTTTTTTTTAACTCAGTATTTTCAATACGAATTTCTCGATTTTCATGTCATAATATTTGAAGTTGAGCTTTCAATGTATCATCTACGTCCCCATGCCCTTCATCCGTTTCAAGCCATTAAAAGGAACCACGACCATTCTACATCAAACACAAACCAAATACGTAAAATTCATGTTCAAATTTAATAAATATCATAACTAAAATTTTAATCCAAATAATAACTGAAATAAAAAATAAATACCTCTTTGTACTTCAAACAAGCATAGAATTTTCCCCCTTTGTTCCAATGATTATTTGAACTACAAATTGGTGTCTTCCATCCGCAATTACAATAAACAATCCTTGAAGTGATATGAGACAACGATTTTGAAATTCCGTCATTCGTCATTCGAGTCCCACGGAGGGCATTTCATAATTCGGAGGTCTTCTACGGAAGCTGCTCTCAACCTGGTGTTGGGGGCAGCCTACTATCTTACCTCCCCCATATCCCATTACATATGGGAACAAGGGACAACCATTTACAGTGAAATAGCAAAAATAACACAATTATACTAAAATTGTTTGGTTCAAATTATTTTATATTTTGGAATTACTTTCTCATATTTAGCTCAAGAAGATAATATTAAAGTCAACAATAAGACATTATTAATAGTGTCAAAATTTTAAAATGGCCCACTATCTAAATAAAATAAAACAATAAATATATAATTTTACATTAATGTTTTATAGATTTGAGCTCATTCGTAATGAAATGAATAAATTTTATTTTAACATTCATATTTCATTCTAGAAACAAAAGGAGAGGATTGAACAATGGGTTAGCATTGGTCATCATTGCTCTGTTTCTCAGAGCTATTTTGCTCCATTCATCATCAGGAGAAGTTGTGCTTTAATGGGAACGACCTGGACTCGATCCATTTCGTCACAATCTGCGAGCTCGGTTGAAACGAGATCGATATTCGGTGGCCATCTTATGCATACAACGTAGCAGGGGAATATAATGTCTGATTCAAATGGTTCTAATTACATCTCTTGTTTAAGGATATTATGTATGCATACGGCAACACAGAATGTAACATATGGTAAAACATAGATAATCATCATCCATTTTTTCCCCTCTCCCTATACTATTACACCAAATCACTCTCCGGATAGTTTTCGAGTTTCGAAGATGATCAAGCCCATTTGGCCATGAGGGACATGCCGCCAGCACCCAGGAGAACAGCAGCATAGGACTTAACTTGGAGCTTAATGCTCTCCTGCAACTTTGGTCCCATGAACTCTGCCGAAAGAAGATCGACCAAAGCCATGTAAATCAAAAGCCCCGCCGATGACGCGTTCAATAGTCCAACCGTGATCAACGCGGTCGGATTATTCTCTTTGTATGTCTTGGACAAAGCAATTCCGACTGCTATCCCAAACGGTGTTGTTACGGAGAAGAACACCATGATAAACTTCTTCAAAGGTTTGTACTCGGCCTATAATGTAACGAGTTAGATTCGATTCGACGAGTGGTTAAATCCGAAGAATGAAAGGATAAGTGGATGTTAAGTACCTGAAGAATGCAACCACCAAGGCCCATTCCTTCAAACATTTGATGGAAGCAAAGGGCAGCCACTAGACCTTTAATGGTGCAAGTGTTGTTGGAAGCTCCTAGTGAAAGCCCTATTACCACAGAGTGAACAACAATTCCCAGTTCCAATACCTGCACCAAGAGACGGACACAAGATTTTATACCAGGGACGCATTTATAAAATTTTAAGAGGGATGGAAATAAATAATCAATAGAAAATATAAAGAAAATATCTATATTATTGGTGGTGTTAGATTTCACATGTAAGAGATAAGCCAAAGACAAGCCAATTGGGCTGGTGTAATTCTTACCATGGCAATCACACGGTAGCGCATCAACTGTTGATTTGCGTTTCCCGGTGCGGGCTTTGAACCATGATGGTGTCCGTGAAATAGTCCGACATTCACCACTACCGCCATCTCCAATTGTTCTCCCCTGACCTCCGGATTGATCTCATAGTTACATTTCTTGCTGTATATTGATGTAGCCATGGAATCCACCATCAAAGTCACGATCGAGGACAACATAGCGACGAATCCCGTGAAGGGAAACTTGTGCCACGGATTCTCTTTCAAGCAACGTGACGACAACATGTCGAAAGAGTCCGGCAACACGTGCATGAAACCAGTCGCCAGGATGATCCCAGCAGCGAAACACTTGACGATCACGAATAAAGCTCTGTCGGGGTGAAGAGCCGGGATGGAATTCGTGAACAGAGGCGAACACACGCCGATAACACTAGTGATCAGTATAGAGAATATGGCTATGACCTTGAGGGGTAAGGCCTTTTCCTTGTTGGTGCAGCCATCGGTCTCGGTTCGACATTCCTCCGGCACTACCGAAACTGCTTGTGGTGTGAAGATGCAGATGATAATCAAGAAGACTGAAAAAAGCCTGACAAGTAAAGAACAAGAAGCCATTGACACTTTTCCTTGGTCACTTCACCTCAAAGATTAAATCATTTATTAGGGCTTTGAATCATGGCGATGGCCTATAATTGATGCTCTCTATATATAGACAAACCAAGTGATTGTTTAATTCAAAGGCTTGAAGCATGGTGCCTGAGGCAAATCTGAAATTTCATGCCTTTACGTGGGTGTAAGCATGGGGAGGAGTACGGAAATTATATCCAAAACCATCATTTTCTTACATTATAAATAATACTATTTTTGTTCTTCGACTTTTAGTTTAAATAATTAAGAATTCTGAAACTATAAATGATTCTAAAATTGTAATATGACGTTTAATACGGGCAAGTATGTGTAAGTGTTTGTATCGTGTTGAAAAACATAATAGGATAAAACGAAAAATACAATCGAATTATGTTTTAAAATGAGAAATTTAAAAGATGAAAAATATAAATTAGAAGAAGAAGAAATTAGGGTTTGTACAAATCATGGACCTTTAAAATAAAACCCCTAGTTATTCTTTAAAATTATAATTAAATTAGAGTTGAAATTTATGCAGCATTAATTAGGCAATTTGAATTTCTATGCACATCTAGTGGACCAAAGTACTTAGGGTGTCCTATAATATTTATTTACTAAGAATGTGTGGCTTAAATAATTTAATCCCTAAATATATCAATTCAAAGCATGGCCATAGCTTTTAATTATTTGATGGTGTGGTGATAATATGGAAAATAATATTTATATGAAAACATGGGTTAAAATATAATTTAATAATTATTTTATAGTATCTAAGTTTTCTTCTTAATGTCATAGTATATGAAAGGATGATTAAGTACGGTTTTTTCATCATTTGAATGAAGTGAATTCCATTTCCAAGTACAATCAAGTATATGTACATGTGCCTTGGCCCCAAATAATGTGAAATGTATCCGTTAGTCCTTTAGTAAATTGTGAAATTATAAATAAGTCCAATGTTGAAACTGTATAAAACTAACACTAAATCACGAGTCCCGAAATAAATATCGTTTCTATGCTCCCCAGTATTCAAATACAAAAGAACCAAATCATTTATCTATAAATCTAATGTTTTATTAAATACTTTTTACATCCCAACAAATCTCAATCAGATACCTATAAGGATTGATATCTCTCGTGATTTTAAAGCTAACTTAAGGGTTATTTCTGTTCTTTTTAGTAGATCCAATTCATCTTTTTTATCTTTATATATTTTTTAAATTAGTCTCTGAAATTGTTTAGGGACATCAACATATCCCTCGAAGTTCGTCAATCATTTTGACTAACATACTGTGAGTCTTCTGTATCAGTGAATTAAGGGATTATGTTAAAATATTTACTAAACACAACCATTAGAAGATTTTCCAAAATTTTAGTATTTATTTTAGTGAGGTTATGGATTAGATCAAAATTTTGAGGATTTTTTCTAACCGTTGTATTTAATAAATATTTTATTAATTTTTTTAATAAATGTCACATCATTATCAAGTTACGTCAGCCAATATTACTGATGTAGAAATTGATGGCGTCGATAAACACAAAAGACTAACGATTTTGTTGGTCAAAACGGATTTTGAGAGCTAAATTGATGTGAAAAACTATACGAGTAAAAATAATAAATTGGATATATTACAGAGACAAAAATAACCCTTAAACTGTCAAAGATTAAAATCTACTTTAATTTACAGAGTCAATTACTTGATCACTAATAAACATTATTCTATAAAACTTATTTTCTAAAATTTATTTATTCGATTAATCTCAAACCATTAGAATTATATCAAAATCTAAATCAGTTGTTGAATCACTCCATGATATTTGTACATGAAAACGTATTTAATATATAATAAAGTGTGTATTATTTAGAGAAAGGGTTAATTTTGCTTTTGATACTTGAATTGTGGGAAATTAATTATACAACTTGGTGCCTGAAAAAGAAATGTACAATTTTCACCCCAACCATTCTAATAATTCACCATATTAATCCAATTTCTAACTTTGTCCCATCTAACGAGTTTTATATACCATCAATGATAGTAGACAGTAACTTACACCTAATTTTCTACCCAGTGGATGACATTTTTGTGCGTTTACTTTCACTATTAAAAAACATATATGTACTTTCACATTAGGATTTTGACAGTATTGATATATGATAGTCATAATTTTATTCACCTTTGGTCATTAACTTTTAAAATCTAATATTTAGATCACTTACATTATCATTTTATTACTTTAATCTATAAGCCATTATCATAAGTCAAGTTCCACCGACTATATTGATGAGGCCTTGAGCTTGGAGTCCCATCTCCCACCTCCTGCTTCCCTACTAATTCAGGGCATCGAGAGCCCAAGTTAGGTCTCTACTGGCCCAAAGCGATGCTCATCTTCAATCATTTTGGTTTGAACCAATGAACCCATCAATACTAGGGAGGGACGCGAGACCCGATCCAGGCGAGTTCTAACCTGATCCAAATCGATTGGATCGAAAATATTCAAAAAAGAAAAAAGAATTGAGTCAGGTTGAGTTTTTTTAGAGGAGAATTTTTGATCGGTTCAATTAGATCCCTATATTTAGGGATAATTATAATAATATATCTCTTTATATTTTTTCAATTAGATCCCTATATTTTACTGAATAAAATTAATATTTTTTATAAATATATTTATTCTAGGTCGAGTCAAATCGAGTTTGGATTTTATCTCAAAGATTTGAGTCGAGTTTCAAGTTGGGCGAAGTCACAAAAAACTCGGATCTGACAAGGTTCAAGTGGGGGAGGTCTATTTTTGAGTCGGACCGGATTAGCCGAAAACTCGACCCAACCCGAAATATGCCCATCCTAATCAATACACTCGGTTAGATGTATTCAATAGTCAGATAATTTGTGGAAGCACAAAGTTCTGTTCAAAATCAAAATGGATACGAGTAAAAATATTAGACCTGGAAAATAGGCATGAACAACAAAACTACATTCGTTTATAATATGAGTGGAACTCATGCTCAACCGTTCAAGGTGTGAACACGACGTGATTTGTTTCTTGAAAGTTGATGTTTCAAGTTAAAACATACTTGAAGTCGACGAGCATTAAGTGTATTAATTTCAACAAAAACTCAACTTATTTAGGATGTTTAGGTCTTAGATTCTTATATACATATTTTTCTCGAGAAACGAAACTGATAAAGATTTTTATCTCTGACTTTAGCAAAATTTTCTTGACTTAAATTAATAGCATACAAGTAAAGATGACAGATGAATACAATTTTATAGATATCGTACAAACTCTTTACAACCACTTGTTTTCTCCGGGCGGCAAATGCATTAGCATTATGACTAAATAATCTCCGAAGCTAAACATTAAGCTTTTAATGAGATATTAAACTGAAAAAAAATAAACATTATATATGATTTTAAAAAATTTAAAATTTTAAGTACTCAAACTAACCAAAACTGATAATTTAAGTATTAAACACGTATTTTACCTTAAAAGTATCCATGTATTTCACAATCAACCCAAACAACAAATAGAGTAAATAAATTCAAATAAATGTTCATATCTAGGCCTAGTAGGCTTTTAATTAGGGTCCAAATCTCATGCCCTTTTAACCAAATGATATTTATTCTTGTTCCACTTTTTTTAAACGAATTGGACTTGCACATGAACTTTATTAGAAAGTAAAATAGAATTGAATAATCTTGGATCATGCAAGACGAATGTGAGCTCTCGATGTTATTATCAAATAAGCATAAATATTACTCTTTTTATGATCTGATAATGCATAATTTTATACACCATTTGTAAATTAAATCATGTTGTATCATGAGAAATATTGGTAATCAATTTAGTATTAAATTTTTATGAAATATATTATTATTTAATTTGATAATAATATATTATATACAAATGTATGGCTCGACTCTTTAGTCCAAAGTTGTCCTTGCTTATTCTTGGCAAGTATCCTAACATTGAAGGGTAAGAACAATTAATCTATATTTCAAAATGGCGCACGATAAGGTTTTCCTCTGGGTGCACATTAGCCAGGTTAATGAATCCTGAAAATCTCGTCCGTTTCTCCGGCGTTCAAGTCTTTTTTCTGTCTATTTTCATCATATTTTCTGGGTGTTCTCTTCCTTTTGTTCTCTTCAATTGATTGGAGGAAGCTTTTTGGTTGCTCTGAGGGACATGATTTGGAATTTCACCCGCCTAGGGTTCAGGATGGGGCTATCTCTGTTCATCCACCTTTTGAGGTGTTTGATGTTGGGATTGAAGAATGGAAGTTGTCTCTTGTTGGTCAATTCCTCGGTGCTACACCTAATTTCGCTTCAATGCAACGCATCGTCGATAATCTATGGAAGAGGACTCTGGGGGGACATCAAAGTCCAGGTCAGTTTCGCAGGAAACAACCTTTATGTTTTCTCTTTTAGTTCAGAATCAAATAGAGATTAGGTACTTGAAAATGGACCCTGTCATATCCTTAACAAACCCCTAATCCTTAGGAAGTGGGAACCCAACTTGAAAAGGCTTCAATTTGATCTATCTCGTATTCCAGTATGGGTTCATCTTTTTAATGTTCCACTCGAACTCTTCTCTAGAACTGGCTTGAGTTATATTGTCAGTGCCATAGGTTCCCCCCTCTCTATGGATTTTGTAACAGCTGCCAAATCCCATTTGGAATATGCCAAAGTTTGTGTAGAAATAGGCGTAAACGATGTTATCCCTAAATTCGTTAAGGATGATAAAACCACCTCTGTTGTGGTTGAGGTGCCTTGGTTCCCCGCTTCTTGTAGGAAATGTGTAGTCTTCTAACATAGTGAGAAGAATTGCATTTCTCTGAAAAATCATATTCCTATTAAACAACAAGTTTGGAAAAAGAAGGAAGTCTCTAGCTCTTCTCCAGTGCATGAGCCTACTGTTGGAGGCATTGAATTATTGCAAGAGTCTGAACCTAATGTCCCTACCACTGTTGTTGAAACCTTTAAACATCTTGTTAATACTGTTGATGTTTTTATT